GATGAGAGTCAAGCCAAAGAACCTCTACAAAAGTGGTTGGATGTTATCCACCTGAACTGAAGAGAACTTTAGCCTCGATATAGCTTACATTTACCTATTAGATTCTAGAGTGACATGCATCCTACATAAGGCTGGGAACAGCAATTTCGAAAGAATTAATGCCAAAATGATACGAAATTTAGAAGTTTTGAACGAGAAAAGGTAATTTACAATGGAGGTTTAAATACGTGCGTAATAAGACCACACCTTAGGATCACCAATGTCCCTGTCATACCGCCACCCTGCTTCATCTGAAAGCGAAGGAAAGAAAAACAGGATTAAGGCGTGCGCACATTCTCCATTCTGAGAAAACTTTATGTTGATTGAGTTTATTCAAAGGGCAAATCATTCACACAAGTAAGTCTGAAGAAAAACATAAAGCAATGATTATGTCCAGTATCTTAATTCTGAGCCCAACATCTCAGGCCCTTGTCGCTGAGTAACAAAAAGGTCTTGCAACTATGCAGGGCCTGCGGTTTTACCACTCACACATAGTTTGTCGTAGTCGGTCATCTGGGTTTGCTAGCGTCACTCTCAGTGGAAGAATGGAACGAATGGGAAAGTGGGATGTAAATTGGAACTGAATCCCACGATATTTTGCCCAATCTTGTAGGTCTTTGTTTCCATATTCTCTCTTTGCTTCACTGAGCGTTCGCATCGGAACCTTCAAAGTTTTGTTGAAAGAGAAAATGAAAAATATCTTGGAAGAGTTTAATAAAATTGATTGGTCCAAATAGTTAACTCTGTATGGGACATCAGGGACTTCTTCCTTCCTTCCTCCCTTCCACCCTTCTTTCCTCCCCAGGAAGGTTTAACATCACACAAATTCATTCCAGAGTTTTGAGAGACACTGAAAAAGGAAAGTGTTTCCCCAGTCACCCTAACTTCAGATTTGTAATGAAAAACTGCCTAAAGAAATACATAAGTTTAAAATTCTTACCTTCAAGATGTGAAATTGGACAAAAGTATCATTTCCAGTTTTAGAAAAAGAACTCATACACAGATAAAAAAGACATTATGTTTATTTATCAAATGGCTGACTCCGCCGGCTAGCAAGGTGAAGCCAGTTTGATTGACTACCTTAGTGTCCATCTTTCCTGCTTGCAATTGCCCACCTTATTTCTTTAATAAAAATAATAGGTGCTTGTAACCAGCTGAAATTTTTCATTACCTGTTGTTTTAAGCAACATGGTATTATAAATGAGAAAAAAGATTTGGCATTTTGTAACAAGATAGTTGAAACAAAGAAAACATCCAAGTTGTGAGCGTTTATTTGACAATGTGTTGCACTGATCTTTTTCTCTCATGTTAGATTAAATTATTGATTTTCCAAGTTTTGTTCAGTGTTAGTCAAGATGGCTAGATGTTAGCTTTTTGGTTTGCTTGTTTTTCCCTTTTTAAGACCTCAACCCCATCTCAGTCCGAGAAGAAAATGAATGAAAAATAAACGGACCAATAACACATATTCACGAGTTGGATTAAACAATGACACACACATAAGGTACTAAAATTGATTGTAGTTCCTTACCACTGGTGTTCCTATCATCTTAAACAAAGCTCCAACCGAAATTGGCACCCATTCAACCTCAACTGAAACTGGATGAACTTCTGTCAGCAACTTGGAAATCTTCATTATAAAGAAATAGTCATTTTCTTAATTTGAAATATTGACTGCAACTAGAATAAATAGTGTGCAATGCTTATAACAATATTCTCTCAATAAAATTGCTATATGAAAATTTGAAAATGGTTCTGCAAGATTGAATCTGAGATGGACCCTGACTATTAAGGTCTGCATCACAAAAGAGTAGTATTTAAACCCTCTGGTTTGTAGGTGTTGTTATCATCATCATCATCATCATCAATATTATCATTATTATTATCATTATTAAGAAAAGAAAAACAGGTGTTATTAGCAACCAAACTATCTTTGCAATTCTCCAGCCAGACACTGTCCAACATAAAAGTTATGAGAATTCAAAAAAATATCATGTTGAACTGGGAGATACTTTTCTTTACCTAACACTAACTTTTCAGACCTGTCTAAGAATGAAACACAATATCAAAAATTGGGCAGCTATTAGCTTTCAAATCTAGTATTCAAGGGGCTAAAGGTTGCCTACAATTCACATGTGAAGGCACAGCCTTTTTATATGGGTTCGTATGTGCATCCACTGTGACATTTTCTTCTACTCCTCCTTCCACTTGTAAAAATACTATGAAAAAATTACACACTTCTGATTGGCTGACAACAGGTGCATTTTTCATGTAATACAAGTGCAAAGTTGTAACATGAGTGCAAGTTACAAAAAGCACTTTCCCACTGTCTAAATTTAGTCCATCTTGACTTTCTGTGATGCTTTTTTCATGTAAATTATTAAAAAGTAATAACATGATTTCCAGTGCAATTAGGTGTAAATAAGCACTTGTAAATTTTTCAAGACTTCAAATTATTGTCTTTGAAAATTTTATTTGTGCCTATTTAAACCTAATCAAAACTTTAACAAAATTCTCAAATGCGATTGGCTATCACCAACCCAATTTAGGCACTAATAGGACAGTGTACACATCATGCTTGTAATTGGACAGTGTAATAGGACAGTTTGAGGGCAGTTAAAACATCATGACTGTTGAAGTGGACAGAACTCCTCATCTGCGCAGGCTGTTGTCTCCTATTTTGCCAAGGTAACTGCTGTTTTTCTCTTATGCAAGCATATAACTGAGGTCTAGTTTCTCTTTCAAATTTTATCATAGTTTTGCTTAATTGGTAACAGGACTTCATGTCGTCCAATTCTGTCTGTAATCATACTTGTGATGAACAAATTGGACCTCCACAATTTTGTTAATCAGTTGACCTATGATTACAGAACGAATTGAACTCCACTTCGTCCTATTACCATTACATTACATTATTGCACTTGAAATCATGTTATTACCATTACTTATAGAGCAATTATAACATTACCTGTGTTGAACCAATATAGCTCCAAGGACTGGAGAAATCATGGTAGATTGTCAGTTTAGATTTTCTGGGTTCAGTAGGGGTTGGATGAAACCTTGGTGGGGCAGCTGATTTATTTCCCAAAGCTCTCTCTACAAAATGTAAATGATCCACTCCAAAGAAGAGTTCATTGTTCACCCAAAAACTGGAGAAAGAAGCAGTCAGAGAAGAATATATTTTCAATTGATACCTTTGTATGTAGTATTTGTTAAATTAGGGTAAACAAGCTTAGCCCTTTAACTGCCAGAAGTGATTAACTTCTTATTGCAATTCTTATACATGATCTTGGAAACAAGTTATGAGAACAGACAAGCTCATCTGCCTTGTGTTATCTTGATATAGGACCGAATTCACTTATCTAATTTAGAAGGAATTCTTAGGCAGTTAGTCAGGAGAAATACTAATTGGATCTTGGAAGTTAAAGGGTTAAGTGTAATTATTAGTTACCAACTGAGGATAGATATTGTAACAACTGCTTCTATGGTAATGCACTCTTTTAATAAATAGATTTCCTGCTAACTACAAACATATGGCATTCTATTTTTTTCAAAACTGTATATGCATGCACAAACTGAACTACCATTTTCAGAGCAGTGGACTGGATACTACTGATATGGTTTACTATACTGCACTAGCCCTTGGTTTTTGTCTTTATTGGATCACTCACATACATGTACTCATGTTTCTGCAAGTTTTTTCTTTATCATAGAGATCATAATTTTTAGACTACACTCCACTCCACTGTTTCATTATCAAAATGAAGCTTGTCACAGAATAATACTTTGAGTATTTCTTCAAACCTGGGCACACCAAAGGAACCTCTGTCTAAAGCCTCCTGGGTATTCTGCAGAAGCTTCTCTTTCCCCAACCCACCAATCATCTCATCAATGTCAACTTGCCAGCCAACTGATGAGGCACTTTCTTGTAAAACACTGCTCTCTCGCACATCTAAAATACATAAAAATCTAAGGAACTGGCTGAAAGTATGCAAAATTAAGAAGCTTTTCCAGTATTTATTTAACAATAAGCCATTTTACAGTTGTGTCCTTAGTTGCCATTAGCCTTTCATTTGGAATGAGGCTGAAGGTGACCATGTTGTGATAGAGACCCATATCTGGTTAGCATTATAACAGTAATTTACATGTGAAAAGCAACAATGTTTGTATCATTACAAGGTCAACTTTAGCTTCACTCCTATTCAAAGGCATGCAACTGCAAAATTGACTATCATACTGCTCAGTGTCAAATAGAGAAATTAAGGCAAAGAATGAATTTTAAAAGGCTGAGGAGCCCTTTTCTCAAAATATTTTTGGAAAATGAAATTATACATGAACTGTTTCACTCTCAAGATCTCATTTGTAATTCTCCTATACACTGTATCGTCTGCTATACAAATCTTATGCTGTTAGTTGTTAGGAGAATTTGGTATTGGATCAACTGTTAATCTACTATTGAATATTTTTCTTTATTCTCATCACTTAATTGTCTGCTTGATATTGTATTGATATTGTAAGGAGAAATTCTGTCTTGGTCACTCATGGGAGTAAAAGGGTTACACATCGTAAACTGACTGTTTCCAAATAGGAATTTTTTCTTGCAGTACAATACAATTTGAATCAGAAAGGAGACAAAAAAAAATGCAATCAAGAGAAATTGTCAGATTCTGCACCAAATTCTTAAAGTTTAAATTTTAAGTAAAAATATATGGCAGACTGTGTGGATAGTTGACACCTGTTAAAAGGATGAATGGAAACAACCCACCTTTGTTTTGAACCCAATATGCAGCAAAAAGCTTATGTGTTAATGGGACACACACATCTTGATTTGCATGGGCTGCTGCAGCTAAGAGACGCATTGGATTCAGTGTCTTTATTGGATGCTCAGATGGAGCTGTCCCTTCAATCCCATAGTGAAGTTTTGATCTCTTTAAATCTGAAATATGTAAACATTTCTTTAGAATAGCTTATACAAAAATCTGTGTAACAAATACATAAGGGGGTAAGTTTCTAATAAAACTGTGGTACTGTGTTAGCCCTTCATAAGAACAAATGAATCTGCTCTTATGAAGGGCTAATGCTTGAAATGTCAGCTCTGTAACTCTTTACCAGGGCCAATTTATTTTATCAACTCAATGACTGATACTTAATTTGACAATTATCAACTTGATAATATTTAATTACCCTGAGTAACAAGTGGATTTCGATTGGTTCTTACTCATGATCTATTGGAGGCCAGGCACACAAATAATGTCAACATTGGCAACATTCCCTCTATTATAGTACAAAACAAATAGATTCTATGTTGCAGTGGGTCTGGATAGTAAAAGATCACAGAACACACCAAAATGTGACATATCACTTTTTTGGTTTTCCAAATTTTGACATCATCTGTGATCTATTACAGAACCAATGCATGAACACATGGAATCTGTTTGTTCTACTGATCAAGAAAAAACTATTACTTCAATTTACTGAGAGAAAAAAAGATCCTCAAAGGTGAATTGCAATTTAAGATGTTGTAGAAAAAAAAATCCGGGACTCATTTCAAGAAAGAAGTAATGGTTTGCCTCCTCAATTAGGATTTTTTAACAATTTTGTTTTCTATTCATTCAGATATTTATAGAGTGCCTCAATTAGTATGAAGGTGATAATTGTATTAAGACTTGAACAAAGCTAATTTTATTATATATTTGATGACTGACTGTTTCACCAATTCAGTACAATTTGTAGTACCAATAGTCAGGCATTCATAATATTCATGTAAAAATTGAAAATTATATTACCATCTGCTAATATCTTAATTTTAGCCGCACTCATAGAGTCATAAGCAGATCCTGCTGCACCTTGGGGTGCCTGTGTTCCCTTATACAGGCCACCTAACAAAAGGAAAACAGTCAAAGAAGCAGTTCTTGAGAAAGCTTACTAAAGAGGTATTTACAAGTCATCCTTGCCGGAAGTTCCTCATGTTACAAAAAATATGATTAAGCTTACTAGAAAGGATATTTGATCTTTAAATTTGAAGGCGTATGAAAGGGGTGAATGGATATAACACTCTGCATCCAGGTAGGTGGTCTAATTATTTCTAATTTTAAACGGAACAGTTCAAAGGCAGTCTTATAATCATGCTTCGATCTTCAGCGGTAATTTGATCAGTATGGATATCTAAACAAAGAACTTCAGCCAAGCTACCAATAGTTAAGAACAAAAATCTAATAGCTCGCCCTACACGTATATAACAAATGTAAGTAAAGATAGCTCGTGAAACCATTTCAAGACACTCAAGGAAATTGTAAGTGGCTTGTATTACCTAGCAGAACAGGTTTCCACAGAATTTTAGCCCCGTTTCGGCTTGCAACACCTTCTATGAGTCTGCTCGCCATGTAGGCGAATGGGCAAACGACATCGTAATAAAACACTACTTCTTTCATGGTGAAAATTTACTTTCCTGTTAAATCTTTCACAGATATTGCATTCATATGAGCCTCCTGTGCATTCAATCAGCGGTTATCAATTACATCTGTCACTTTGTCACGCAATCCACTAAGATTGCATTCTTCTTGTACAATGCGTGAATGTGGGGAGTTACAGGAGTTACTACATCACGGGCGACGAGCGGGGAAAGAAGAAAAGAGCGAAATACGAGTGGTCAGCGGGGAAACAAATTTAATAATTCATGTAGAGACATATCAGTTGTAGTTGCAGAAAACAATAGTGTTGTAAAGCCGAAATGTTAACAGTATACTTCGCTAAATAAAATTTTAAGCAATTTTTCAAAAGTGTTGATGGCACATATGTCTTTTACTGCCGTAATAAACAATGGAGGCATCAGAAAAGGCATCGGTGGCATCCAGAAAGGCACCAAGAAGAATTATATTTACGTTTTGTAACTTGCTGCGTGACGTGCGTGACGAAAAAGAGATAACCAAAACCGTAGTCCCCAAATGAATTCTCCCACCTTACCCCAAAAAATTTTCAAATATTTCGCAACTTCACCTGTTCCTATTGGTAGGTCCGGCCGAGCCTTTATGGTCATTGGCCCTCGTATAACCGCTAACTATGGCTTATTAATACAGGTGTTTAGTGTTAAATTGTAAAACTCCCCGAAGAAGTCTACGACAATTAGACGAAACGCGTCGGAGAGTAAAGAGATTTTACAACTGCTGTTCGTAGAGTGCTGCTCACCAGTCTAGTTTTAAGGATTTTTTTAAAAATTTGGTGCGGGGACAGAAACACCAACATAACATTTCACCTGCCGTTCGGTTCGAAAGTTAAGTTTTCATACCGAGTTCATTTGTTAAATTAAATAGGAAAAAAAGAACACTCCGAACGGAAAACAGAATTATTTTAACGTCTGGATCTTTTGAAAAAAGGTCTCCTGAACGAGTGGCCCTGATTATAAATATTTAAGCAAGGTAAACACATTAGCCTTAACTTGACTGTTTCTCGAAGCTTAGTGTTTTCCTACCTGCCTTTTAGAGTCAATATTTACATGGGGGACAGAGACACCAACACAACATTTCACCTACCGTTCGGTTCGAAAGTTAAGTTTTCATACCGGGTTCATTTGTTAAATTGAATAGGAAAAAAAAAACACTCCGAACGGAAAACAGAATTATTTTAACGTCTGGATCTTTTGAAAAAAGGTCTCCTGAACGAGTGGCCCTGATTATAAATATTTAAGCAAGGTAAACACATTAGCCTTAACTTGGCTGTTTCTCGAAGCTTAGTGTTTTCCTACCTGCCTTTTAGAGTCAATATTTACATGGGGGACAGAGACACCAACACAACATTTCACCTACTGTTCGGTTCGAAAGTTAAGTTTTCATACCGGGTTCATTTGTTAAATTAAATAGGAAAAAAAAACACTTCGAACGGAAAACAGAATTATTTTAACGTCTGGATCTTTTGAAAAAAGGTCTCCTGAACGAGTGGCCCTGATTATAAATATTTAAGCAAGGTAAACACATTAGCCTTAACTTGACTGTTTCTCGAAGCTCAGAGATTTCCTACATGCCTATTAGAGTCAATATTTACATGGGGGACAGAGACACCAACACAACATTTCACCTACTGTTCGGTTCGAAAGTTAAGTTTTCATACCGGGTTCATTTGTTAAATTAAATAGGAAAAAAAACACTTCGAACGGAAAACAGAATTATTTTAACGTCTGGATCTTTTGAAAAAAGGTCTCCTGAACGAGTGGCCCTGATTATAAATATTTAAGCAAGGTAAACACATTAGCCTTATGAAGGCTATGAAGTATTAAATTTGTTTCCCCGCTGACCACTCGTATTTCTATCTTTTCTTCTTTCCCCGCTCGTCGCCCGTGACGTAGTAACTCCCGTGAATGTGATTTCAGATTTTTCTTCTTCATTCTTGCTCTGCGTAGTAAGGTGAATCATTCTATTAGGACTGTATCTATTCTATACATGTACTATCGGAAATTTGGAAGTGTTCACCGTTGTCGAAATGTCATGAACTTGGACTAGAAACTTCCCGCGTAACTGACATGCATTTAAATGTAAATCCTTCAGAGCCTCGTGGGATGCAACTTTTTGCTTTACCGAGACCTCCTTGAGCGCGACCACAAAAGAAATATCGACAGTTACAAATTCAAAATGAAACCCAGCGAGAATTTTACATCAGCAAGGAGAGCACAGCTTACGTGAGAATCAGTGACACGTTACTTATTCATCTGCGTGGGCACCCGCGTGGGTGGAACGTGATGATCGGAGTGAGGGGTAACTGAACAACTACAGGACTTTTTTGAGAAGTTCTTGATGCAGTTCCTGGGAAACTTGCAGACACCTAGCCTATGTATGATTATGAATTGAACCAGAGCTGGCTTAACGACTTTGAACATCTCTTTTACCCGTCACGTAAACTTTTGTAGTGAGCCAGGGGAGCCTTTTAATTTTTTCTCGATTGATTGTTTGTCCCTGAGACTCCAAGCACGAGGCATATTTGGATCATTCAGCGGTCATCACATGAGAACTGCATTTGAATTTTATAACACTGTTATCATCATTATACGAATTTTAAAAACGGTAATTTTGGCATCCTATAACGGCGAGAAGAGTTACAAAGTAGAGTAACGATAGTAGACATCTGAGTTTTACCATGAAGTTAAAAAATCTAGATCGCTCATTTGGGAAGAAATAAAGCAAGTTCCTTCAAAGCAGCGGCCAGGTTTCTGACGTAATTCCGCAACACATGCGCGGTTGGATTCTGCCGGTATGTGAACGTAACAAAACTAGGTATTTTTTTAGAATATCATCAACATTTTGGCTGTCCGGAATTTATCTCATCGATAGATGTTTCTTTATTCATCAACAAACAACACAAGTAGCTCAAGCTCGCATAATCAGACCCGGTATAAATATTGTATATGTAAATATATGTTTATGTCACGCAATAGGCGCAATGTAAGGATTGGTATGGAAGTATACGGTCACACTCTTAACCCAGAAACCTGGATTAGTTTTGAATAAAACCAAACTTGCATCGCTTCTTTGTTTGTTCCTTTGCATGTTGTGAGCTTCCTTGTCTGATTTTCGGTCATTCAGTGCGTTTCTTAGTTCTCCTGATTTACCCTCAAAAATATTACAAAGTTCTCCCAACACTCAACTCTCAGCTACAGGCAATTTGAAAGCTGTTCATTGAGAAATTTCAGCCTATGCAAACAAAGAGGCTCAAGTTACCGGTAGTGTTCAAATGTTTTGTTCTACAATGATAATATCGCCCAACTCAAAAAGGGATTTTAAACGCCTAGAATTACGGGCACGTAAGGGGTAAACATATGAAGCACGTTAACCTTTTTGATTGAATTTTTCTAGTAATTTATCAACTGTGCCACCTCCACGACACTCTTTGTAAAAAAAACCTGCCAAATTATGTTTTGAACCTGAAATTCCACCCTTTCATTTTCAATGTATAGTAATGTAATACTTCAGTGGTTGCACAACACGATCTCGTGACCGCTGATTCACTGTAGGCACAAATAATGGCATAAAACATCCGGTCTATTAAAATCCTATCAAAGACTTCTCATTGGTGCTCACGACGTTTCTTTCAAAATGAGGCAGTCATCACGTAATTACCTCGGCAAGAAATTATGAAAAATGTACAAAGTTTTAATGCAAACACGTCCAGAGCTATTGCTATTCTGAAAGTCTCCTAAAGACCCATAATCAGTCTTGCTTTAATACTGTCTTGCTGCAAAATTTTGAATGAGAAGCGATTTGTAAGACTTCTCCATACATTTTGGAGAATTTTATTTCGTGATAACAATTCTAGTCAATCCAAACCGATCGCATATGACTTAGGCGTACAACGGAGGGGTTTTTCTTAATAGCTAGATGCCTTGGGCAAGTGTTAGTTTGAGGTCGCAGTGTCCACTAGGCCAGAGTTGAGTTTGGCTCTTCTTTCTTCCGCTTTCGTCCATTCACGGTTATTCTCGTATTCTTTCTGTTGGCGTGCCTTGTGCCCTTAGTGTTGAGTGAAGGCAATCCCAGAATCACTTGCTTCAGCTTCAGCCGACCGGCCACACCAGTTGTTTTGATTTTTGCCTTAGGCTAAATTTTCGTTAAGCTTCGATTTTTCACTTTAGCCCACTGGTTTCTCCCCTCGCCACAACACTCGCTCCTACCAGACGGCCTGTATCTTTCCCTTTACTTTACAGAGAGACAAATGTGGGGAGCCGATTGATCCAGCGACGCTCTTTCGTTACCGATTGGATCACTTTGGCCAAAAAGCCATGGTTCCGGATCTTTTGTGTAGGTACAGAGCCAAGAACCACCACCTGGCTCTTCGCAAGAGCCACAAGCACAAGAAGGACTTGTGCAACACCCGTCTTTAGGCGAAATGGCAGGGATAATGCCTCCTGGAAAATTAGTTACGACTAGGAACGTAGCGGAAACTGGAAAATATGGGGGAAAATGTGGAATAACTACGTGGTAATTGCTCAACTTGAGATGGAACCGCCAGCGTAGAGAGTCGCACTGTTTCTCCATTGTATCGGTTTCGATGCGTAGAAGATTTTAACGGTTTCAAATATTCGACAGTCCAGACGATAAAAATGCCCCGGCAAAGATTACACAAATTGAAGTTCGTCGAATTCACCATCGGAGAACTGAACGAAACCTTTTAAAGGTACACTTTCGACTTGCAATTTTTGTGACTGCAAAATATAACCAACCAGGAAGTTTATTTTTAATACTATGTTTATTGTAAAATACTGTTATGATATGACTACACAAGTTTTTATTTGATCGTTATAATAATAATAATACTAATAATAATAGCAATGATTTATTGCAGAGTATCCAACAAAGTGAGGTTCTTCATCTACAATATCTACACTCTAAATCAACTCTAAAAGAGAAGAATATACATATAAAATAAAAAATAAAAAACATTTATAATTGTGTTTGCTACTTAAAGTTCCTTTCATAAAAGATGTCTCTTCACACTACG